ATAGCATAAAATCGACAACACAAACTTTTTCATCTTCCTCACATAGTGTCTGTACTTCATGGGGACATAGCTTTCGTATAGTTTCCTATGGCGTTTTAGCTGAAAATAAGAGACTGAAATAAGAAGGTAAAAAATAGTAATTTTCCAGAAAAATTAGATATGCAACGTAGTTATAAATTTATAATGTTAATCAAGCTGCATGCTTTGTGTTGAGATATTGCATTAGAGTTATTAGACTAGGACTGAAGGTAACTATGTTCGGATAACAAAAATCCAGACAAAACAAAAGTTCTAATGAAATTATTATCTTATAATCCATTAATCCTACCTGTTTGATGACCTCTTTTCTAACATATTTGTGGTAATCTTGCTTCTGAAATAACTGGTCTGAAAGGGCTCGAAACTGTAAGAAGTTGCAACCGATTATAGATAGCTAATAAATTGATACAAATAAAATTAGAACAGAAAAAACTGTTATAGATTTTTTTTTTTTTTCAATATATCTGAAAAACCCATCATAATAAAATAGGAATAAATAAATAAATAAAAACAAACCTGACAGTTACCATCTCCCTCAATTTGCATTTCAGCCAAGCCATATGTGGCCAGCCTGATAAAATTTCAAGGAAAAAGGTGACTTAGATTTCTAATCTTAGTTCTGCTTCTTGTTCGACTTATCCAAAAAAATAAGCACTTTCACTACTTATCTACCGCTATTCTTAACTAATCTGATTTTTAGCTTTTATTTGCAGATACTACAAATTCTCGATTCTTAGAGCCTTTTGGTTTAAACTAAAATAAATCACTTCATCTAAAATATGATGTTTTTGAACCCGGAAATTTCCCTAACAATCGTCCCTTTAATCTTTCTGAATGTTTCAATGGTTCAAAATCAAGAAAAAAAAAGCCTCTCCAAAATAACCACGAATTACATAATCATCAATATAATTTATATGTCCCAACAATAGCCAGTATTTTGCTTTTGCCATGTGGAAATGTGGCATCATGCAAATGGAAATTCCAGAATTCAGGTAAAAACTTAAATGCAGCACAAGATTACATGATGAAGAATTAATCATAATAGAAACTAATGACCACTTCTCAAGACATAAAAATTCAATTGTAAAAGGGAAAAAAGACCAAACACCAAAAAATTAAAAAAAAAAAAATATGGAGCTGAAATTGAAATTTGAAAGAACATACAAAATATTCCCCAAATGCATCAGACAGGTGTTGGAGCCATATCCCCAAAATCAAAGGTATTTTAGAATAAATAACCCCACATGACTAAGTTCCAAAGATTCCTCTCAAAAGAAAATAAAGTAAGGCCTTTTTATCACATAGATTGGTCATTTTTGGTAGTTACAGGATTGGGTTGAAAGATTAAACTAAAAATTAATTACTGGACCACACCAAGTGAATCATTTACAAACAAATACTGAAATTCAAAGATACATCTCCAGTAAAAAAAAAAAAAAAGATACACCTCTGAGCTAGCCTCTCATGGTCTAAGGTCGCGTCATTTGCATCTGGTATGCTCCCAATAACCCGAGGAGTGTGCTACCAAATAAAATGAAACGAAACCATTTAGCTCATATCATCCAATTGTACAAAAGTAAATAAAGCTAACTGCAAGTTTCAAACTTTAAAAAAGCATATCCTAAATTCTGAATCAATTGATTCATTGTCTTTATCCCGTGGGATCAAATCAAACTAAATGTTTGCAAACTCCCACTCAAAAAGTGTTAATCTTTTCCCATGAAATGAATTGAGAACCGATTAAGAGCCTTAAACCAATAAACGTACAGAACTTGTCATAGCTTGACATACAAAATACAATTATCCCAAAAGAAATATATACCATTAGACAATGATCATCACTATCACCTAATAATCCAGCCAATATTATAATTCTCTTTCACAACAAAATAAGAATAAAAAACGACGATTGGATTATCGAAACAAGCCATCAAAAGTTTACCGGGATCGAGTCCAAATGAGAAAGCCTCTTCCCAAGCCTGCCACCATCTCTCAACCTCTCATCCTCGGCTAACATTGCAGCAATCGTATGATCATCATCGGTATCGTGTAAGCTGCTATTCAAGCTCGAGCTCGAGCTTGCACTAGCATTATTCCCATAGACATCACTCATACTAATCTCCAAGTTCAGCTTAATCTCCTCAGCAAACTACTAAAGAACATATAAAAAAAATAATAGCAACCAACTAAATTAGAATCGAGTAAGAAACACAAAACGCATTTGAAAACACAAACAGATCATCACATACGATTCTTGATCATACATGCCAATTAAAATTGCAAACAAAATGTTTTTTTTTTTTCCTTCACCCAAAAATTACGAACCCAAAAACCCTGATAAAAAACCTTGACCCCAAATGACAGAAAAAAGAAGAAAAAGTGCTAAAAACACAAGATCCCAATAAAACGAAAAGGGCTCAACTTGAGCTGGAAAGCAAAAAAAGATGGAAGCTCTGATTCAAAGAGAAAAAAGGAGAAAATCAGCACAATTTGAATTAGAAATGAAGAGAGTCGAGATATATTATACCACTTGTAACGGAAATCAAAAGAATATAATTCTTTGAAGGAAACAGAAAAAGAAAAAGTCTTGAACTGAAGGTATGATTTATGAACGAGTAAAAAGAGCAGGTTTTGCTTGGAGGCTCGATTTTGGCTGACGTCATCGGGCACTGATAAATCTGACCGACGGTTTTGGTAAGCAAATAGCTTCATGGACAAAGCGTGTCTTGTTCAAGCTCGAGTCTTGACTTGTACAAATGGCATTGCATTTTCTTTAATTAAATAACAATTAAAACAATATAATAATGATATAATAAAGTTTAATTAAATGACAAGAATTTCCGTTTTCTCTTTTGGCTTGTTAATAAATACACTCTCTGTTTCTTTTTAGATGTCGTTTTAATTTAAAACTTTTAAATTACGATTTTAATGGGTTGTGTATTAATTTTATTAAATTTAGTTTTTGAATTATTAATGGGTGGTTTTTAAAGATAATAATAAGAGATAAAGTTTGTTAAAGAGAATAAAGTTGTAAGAATGAATATAATATTTATAACGACAACTAATTTGCAAGAAAGTTGACATCCTACAACGACATCTAAAAAGAAACAGAGAAAGTACTATAACAAACTTCGAAAATAAATTAATTTGGCAAATCTATGCTCACAATTGATAAATAAGTTGATAAGTTAATTTTTAATTTTAAGTTGAGTTAGTTGATGATTTATAAGTTAATTCGAGTGTATAGTTTTTGGGTAATGAATGAAAAATTAATTTATATAGTAGATGACAAAATTATCTAATAAATAAATTAAAACAGAATTCTCATTATACTTATTTGAGACGTTGCATAGAGAAACATATAAGATAAGTTAATTTTTTTTCTTAACTAATTATAATTACAATATCTTTATATTAGTTACCTTTTCGGTCATTGGCCATAAGTTATATGTCAACTTATTAACTATTGGTTAGTTTTTTTTATATAACTTATTAACTATTGGTTGGTTTTTTTATAGGCCACATGTCGAACCGGCCCGGTCAATCTCGTTGACCGCTAGCCTTAAACTGACCCGTAATTTTATTTGGGCCGGTTCAGGTTCATTTATTTTATAAAATTGAACTAGAACCAAAACCGGCAATTCATCGTCGAAATTTTAATTTAAAATTTGATTTTTTTTAATTTTTAATTATCTTTTTAATTTCATGGTCAGCCCGAAACCAGTGAACCGGTTAGAAACAGTGAAGCGTCAATTCTGGTTCACATAAAATGTGGACCTAAACAGACGGTTCCGACCCAAAACCACCTTTGAACCGACATTTAGCCACCTCGAAGGTGATACAACAAGAAAAAAATATTTAGTAAAATTAGTTGCTGTTGATTTCAAATCTTCAAAGGACTTTTCTCAAAAGGCGATTAATATTTATGAAATAATGTATAACATCTTAAGAAAATATACAACCCAAGCAAACTTAAACTTATAAGATAATTAAATAAATTATAAATTCCCTTATGATATTTATCAAACACAATATATAGGCTAACTAAATATGGTTTTGAGTTTGTTTGCAAACAATAAGCTACTCTATACTTTATTTAGTTAGTTTGTAAGCTTATTTTACTCAAATATGGTTAGTTTTGGAAGCTTATCTACGTTGCATTTTAAATAAGTATATTAGAATATCTGTTTGTCCATTGTAAATGGAGCTGGAATAGTCATTGTTGACAATTCTTCTGGCATAGTGCTGATAATGGACTAGATCTAAATGACTCAATTAAATTCTAGTGCTTCTTCTATTAGTGAAGTTTCTAGAAAAAAAAATATATCAAACGGCGCAATGCACCTTGGATCGCTACGGAAACAACCTCCTTGTATAATTACAAGGGTAAGGTCTGCGTACAACTGACCCCCAGATCCCAACCTGTTGGGAATATACTGGGTATGTTGTTGTTGCTGTTGTATATTAGAATATATGTTTAAGTTAGCTTATCCACTAATTATATCCAATACCTTTATTACAACAAATATATATATATATATATATATATATATATATATATATAATTGTAGGCTATTACGTTAATGCAATAGCCTACTTTTCCCCCCCCATATTTTTGAGCTATTTATAGTATGTTTCAACTTCTATTTTATTTGTGGTTACATCTATTTATTTGTAATTAATATTTTAGTTCATATTTAATAAAGTTGTAATGGTTGTCTTAAAAATTAGTATAATTGCACTATTTGTTAATTTGGTAAGTAATATTACATATTTTATGTAACCATTACAATAATATATCCTTTCTTTTGGTAATTAGTACATTAAATTTGATTGTTAAGGAATTATTAGAAGTAAAGTAATACATAGATTTGAATTTGCCTTAGAAATAAATTTATAAAAATAAATCATAATCATATCTATTAGTTTGTGCTTTCATTTGTAGGAATTCCATTATTAATTCATAAAAAATCCTACCTATTTTTTTCTACAGTCATTTTAATAATGTAAATTAATATTAGTTTAATTAACATATGTTTTTTTTATTCAATTATTATTCAAAATTAAAATTATAATTGTTGTAACATAGATAAATTTTATACATTAGTCTATGGAGATGCAATGGTTCTTTATTTTACCTTCATATTTGTGAAAAAAAAAAAATCATTCTAATTAATGTGTAATAAGCGATTGTGATATTTTAGTAATGACCACATATTTTATAATGAAATAAAACGATATAAGTATTTTCTTATAAGTGAAAAATTATTAGATGAAATAATCTACACGTACATGTATTTTATTGTATAAATATATTATGTATTTCATTTGTATAAAAATTCTCTAGAAATATAAATTTATATCGTATATAACATTTGTGTTGTCCATTTTAAATTTTTTTACTTTGTTTATAATTTTATGTTTTTAATTAATATAATACTCAAGGAGTATAAAAATTAGATGATTCATTATATTCATATAATAATAGTCATTAATATATGGTAAATCTACATTTATATTATTTTATTTTTTAGTTTTAAAAATTCAACTTAGAGCCATTGATGTAATGATTCAATTATAAATGTGATACATAATATTAATAAATTTTATTTTAATTAATATCTTTATGTATAATATTTATTTATCAATTTATTTTTGATAACCTGTGCAAATACACAGGATTAATTCTAGTTTTTTAATCATCAACCATAAACTATCAATATTAGCTCGAAATAAACTTACTAACTTTGAGTTAATATATTATTTAAATTTGCCAATCATACACATGAACTATCTTACGTTGCTCATCAAACACAATTATTTCGTTGAACAATATTTGGGCCAAGTCTCTATCATAGGATCCAAGAAATAGGCCCAAAAAAATGGGCCTACAGCCAGGCCGTTAGCTCCATTTTTGTGCATAGAATTAAGGAGATAATTGCCGTTGGTCTCCACTCGCCTGAGACTGAATACAAAAACCCAAAAACCCTTTCTTCCTCCCCACCTGAGAGCCACCACCGATCCATGAATGGCGTCTTCCGGCCCTTCTCCGCCGCCCGATCCCCCGTCAGAATGATACGATCGACCGCCTCCGCCGCCGCCTCAACCCCGCTGTCATGCCCATCAGGTCAGCCCTCCTCCATTTCCGTCGCCTTCGCATTCATCAGGCCTCTCTCGTCCTCCCCATCGCCGGAACCCAATTCCCGAACCGACCCGACTCTGAATTCGGCCACCGACCTCTCGTCCCAGCTGTTCTCCCTCCTGTGCCAACCGAATTGGCAGAAACACCCCTCGTTGAGGAAATTGATCCCAGCTGTATGCCCTTCTCTGTTCTCCTCCGTGCTCGCTCAGCACCCCAACCTCAATCCTCAAACTGCCCTCCATTTTTTCAATATCCTGTCCCGGGCCCCCACTTTCAAGCCCAGTGTTCAGGCCTACAATTTGCTTTTGCGCTTGTTAGTGAGGAACAGGTTGTATGGGGATGCGGATAAAATCAGGATTCTCATGGTCAAGTCATGTGAGGAGGCGGAGAATGTGGGCTTTGTGTTGGGAGTTCTGCGCGAGATGAACCGTGGCCGTGATGGTGACTTAAGGTTTAAGCTTAGTCTTCGGTCTTATAACGTGCTCTTGATGTCGCTGGCGAGGTTTATGATGGTCGGTGACATGGAATCTGTTTATAAGGATATGTTGGATGATAAGTTGCCTCCGAATATATATACATTCAATACGATGATCAATGCTTATTGTAAATTGGGTGATATTAGAAAAGCCCATTATTATTTAGGCAAGATTCTGACTGCTGGTTTGAGGCCGGACACGCATACTTTCACCTCATTCATTTTAGGGCATTGTAGGAATAAGGATGTCGATAGAGCTTATGAGATTTTTGCGAAAATGCAGCAAAAGGGTTGTCGATGGAATGAGGTCTCGTATAATGTTTTGATACATGGGTTATGCGAAGTTAATAGGGTGGATGAGGCAAAGAGGCTGTTTTTACAAATGGGAGATGGTAATTGTTCTCCAAATGTCAGGACTTACACGATTTTGATCGATGCTTTGTGTGGTTTGGATAGGAGGTTGGAGGCTTTGACCCTGCTTGAGGAGATGAAGAAGAAGGGTTGTGAGCCAAATGTTCACACTTATACTGTAGTTATTGATGGTTCTTGTAAAGACGGAATGCTTGATAAAGCAAGAAAACTGTTGTTAGCAATGCTGGGTAAAGGATTAGTTCCTAATGTAGTGACTTACAATGCTTTGATCATTGGGTACTGTAAGAAGGGAATGATCGAGGCTGCTTTTGAGGTATTTGATCTGATGGAATCGAAACAATGTAGTCCGAATGTGCGTACTTATAATGAGTTGATCTCTGGATTCTGCAGGGTAAAGAAAGTGCACAAGGCGATGGCACTTCTTAGTAAGATGCTAGAGCAGAAGCTTCCTCCTGATCAAGTCACGTTTAACCTTTTAGTATGCGGACATTGTAAAGAAGGTGACACAGAGAATGCTCTTCGCCTCCTCAGGCTAATGGAAGACTACAATGTAGTTCCTGATCTTTTAACCTATGGTCCTGTTATCAATGCCTTATGTGAAAAAAAGAATGTTGATAAGGCATATGCTGTGTTTAACTCCCTCAAAGAGAAGGGTGTGAAGGTGAATGAAGTTATTTATACTGCTCTGATTGATGGATACTGCAATGTGGAGAGAGTAGACTTTGCCTTACAACTGTTTGAAAGCATGCTTGTTGAGGACTGTCCCCCGAACACGTACACTTACAATGTGCTGATTAATGGGTTGTGCAAAGTGAAAAAATTACCTGAGGCGTCAAAGCTTCTGGAGAAGATGTTAACGGATGGCATGAAACCCAGTACTGTTACCTACTCAATTATCATTGAGCTGATGTTGAAAGAATTCGAATTCGAAAGCGCTTATAGAATTCTAAACCTTATGGTTTCTCTGGGATGTAAACCGGACGTCTGCACATACACATCTTTCCTTCTCGCTTATTGCAACCAAGGGATGTTGAAAGAAGCTGAGGATGTCATGTCCAAAATGAAAGAAGAAGGCGTGAGACCTGATTTGATGACCTACACAGTGCTAATCGATGGATATGGACGTCAAGGTCATCTAAATCTCGCCTTTGATACCTTCAAATCTATGGTTAGTGCCGGATATGAACCATCTCATTACACCTATTCTGTTCTAATTAAACACCTCTCGCATGAGAAGCTAATCAATGAGGGCGGTGGCAGAGAAGGGCTCGGTCTGAAGCCAATTAATATTGCCGATGTCTGGAAAATAATGGAACACGGTACAGCTCTTGACCTCTTTGAGAAAATGAAGGATTGTGGTGTTGCACCGAATGTAAACACTTACAATGCACTCATCACCGGACTTTGCAGAGAGAGACGCATCGAAGAAGCCTGGAGGTTGGTTGATCATTTGAAAGAGTGTGGAATGTCCCCGAACGAAGAAATTTATAACAAATTAGTGGATTGTTGCTGTAGCATGAAAATGTTCGAGGAAGCTATAAATTTGATTAATGACATGCTTAAGCATGGCTATTTACCTCATTTAGAGTGCTACAAGCTGCTTGTTTGCGGGTTATATGACAAGGGAAATGCTGAGAAGGCCAAGGCAACCTTCCGTATACTGCTTCGTTGTGATTACAATTATGATGAAGTGGCTTGGAAAGTTCTGATTGATGGCTTGCTGAGCCTTGGCTTTGTGGATGAATGCTCTGAGCTGGTAACTGTCATGGAAGAATGTGGTTGCGCACTTAATCCTCAGACGCGTACTATGTTAGTCCAGGGGATTATTGATCAAAGAGAGGGCACATAGGCCGGGAGGCCCGGGACTGCACAATATATGTGTCTTTGGATATATGTAAGTCGTACCTGCACAAATTATTAAACAGCATTTTTTTTTATGGAATTATAGTTTGTTATTAGCGACAAGCAGCAGAACACTACCATGTGGGTTTCTAAAATATACATTTGATTGATATGTTATTATCTAATGTCAACATTAGTAGTTGACCAAATGAAAAAGGAAAAACCAAATAAAAGAAAATTAGGAATACCAACTTCGCGAAATTACATAATCCTTAAATGCTTCGTCTTGGTTCAGGATTTAATAATATGCAGCTTTGGAAATGATTATGTTTTTATTTGCGCCGTATATATCGTTGCATGAGCTTGAGGACTATCAATTGTTCGTTTTACCACAGATGCTGGAATCAGGGAAGTTAGCAATTCTGGACTGACAAGGCAAAAGGGAAGCAGATCTGAAAAAATGGTATGGTACTGACATATTGAAGTACTCCTGATATTCTTTCATGCGTCATTTCAAAAGTGTTATGGGGGAACTGGTAACATGACTTGATGCTATAGATATAGTAATTATGAGTTGTGAGTTCTTAACTATTATTCACTTTTTTTTGTATCTAGAAATTTTAGTTTGTTGCGAAATGCCTAATTTTTAAATCGTTGTAGTTACGTTCACGAGCAAGCATTATACTCATGTGATGCCATACACGAGGGAAGGAGAATACTATTGAGGCAGGACATTGGAAGGATGGTTCTCTTCTTTGCTTATCGATCAAATTTATTGGCTCCTAGTATTCAAGTGTGCGTGAGTGTAAGATATATATACACCTTTTAAAAGGTTTCTTAATGAAATAGGATATATGAAATCTTGTTGGACATGAAATTTTAGTTCTAGACTAGTCTTGGTTAGCTAAAATGATAAAGGAAACTCATGATCCTTGGACTTTGGAAGTGCAGTTGTCAAAATATTTAGTCCATCCTAAACTTAAATGATAACAAAAGCATGCGATTGGGCTATGTCCCCTTCGATACTTCTTTCTGCAGAGGTGACTGCAATTTTTGCCTATGGGTCAATGTAAGAACTAAAATTAAAGTCCATTGGCTTTATGCAGATGATGTTTTCTGCCTTAGCTTTTGTACGGTGTGGAATGCTATGCTATTTTCAGCGCATCGGGAATAGGGACTTCATAATAAACAAACTGCTTGAGTTGTGGCAGATAGGAACTGTAAGAATGTAATTCCCTTGTGAAATATATATTTTCCATGGTTTCGTTCTTCACTAAATGTCTTTGAGGTCATACCTAGGATAATATTCTTTATTTTAATTAATTACTCTGCAATGAAACATGTTTTTTTTTTTTTTTCAATTCTTCTGCATTATTGCAGGATCCAAACGATCCGACTGTTGGGTTTTTTTCTGGGAGGGAATGGACCGTCTTTGCTGCCTTACTGAAATTTGCAGGTTAGTTTTCCCTGTCCATGCATTGCGTCTAATAACTTGTGGACATTAATATCAGATTTCCTTGGGACTGTAAATTATGAAGGCCTATGCAATATACTTCTGAATCTCATCACTCATTTATTCATTATGTCCAGTATCAAATATCAATAACGTACACATGGAAATTTCTGCATAGTGATGACATGATAATACATTCATCATAACTTTCCGTTGGCCTTGCTGACATCGGTTGATATTTGTTGGGATATTCAATTTATACTGAGAATATCTATATTTTATTTCAGCCATTAGAGGCCATAGCTGAAATCGCGGCCCTCGAACTCGATGCTACTTTTGAAGGTACTTTTCCAAAGGATGATTCGGCTACCAAAACCTCAGGCCGTAAATACTTCCACTAGCACCAGTGATATACCAGTAAGCTGTTTATCAAGTCTATTATTTTTGCTTCTGTATATAATGCTATACAAGACTCTGAAGTTGGCATAGTTATTGAAGTATACTACCGTACATGAAAAAAGAAACGAAAAAGAAAAGAAAATGGAGTTCTTAGCATTCTTGCCTTCATGCCTAAAAAGTAAAAACTTGTCGAATATTGTAAACAAGCAAATCTACAAAAAATGTCTGTCTAATGAAGGCAAGCTTGGTGAATCGATCGATAATGGGTCTGAATTTGGCTCTCGACTTGGTGGATTGATTGGTCAATGAACAATCGTGCGAATTCGAAACTCGGTGGAGCTTGTTTGTTCAGGCTCCAAAGTATTTTTAGATGGGGTAGCAGATGATTAGTCTGCAAGTGAGGCTTCATTTGTTTTTTTTCCATCCAATTTGTGTTACATTTTGAAAATTGAAATATTCATCGAGATATTCAATACCGCGAGATTTTTCATTTCTTTTGTTGTTCAATGCGGAATCAATCAATTATGAGTCGTTAGATCACACGCACACACATCGAGTGTATAGTTTAGTTTGCCTTCACGTAGGATACGAACTATTACATCATGGTTCCATTCCACTTGACCAATTTTAATAGTAGTTAAATTTCCTTCTAAGAATGACATATGAACGGAAATAAAAAAGTATGGTTGAATGAATAAAAATAAATGACACCCAGAAATAATTTTATGCTTAAATACAAGTGGAAAGTCCCCATCACTCGGAAAGAATAAAAGAAAAAACACACGTAAAAGACAAAAGAAAATGTTTATGCAATAATAAAAAAGTTGATCTGAGTAATTCGCGTATACAGTTTGATTTGGATCGTTCGGTTCCTTACACCAGATGAGTTCCATCCATTTTTCAAAAACTTATTTAGTAAACGAGCGAAACTGGTTATTTTTTTTTTTTTTTTNAGTTCTTTCGAAAAAACATATTTCACGTTTGCAAACAAAAGTTGAATCGACTATTTTTGTTTATTAAATTACCACGAACTCGAAAATAAAACTATCAACACCATCAAGAACTGGGAAACAAGATAAAGACTAGCCCAAAATTCCACGCGTAGGGAATCTGATGCTTACTTACAAGTTACGAAACAATCAATCAAAACACATTGTATAAAATTCCTTACACATTAAAAAACATCGTAATTAAATTGAAATAAATAAATAAAGTGGTGTCTCTGTCTACATACAGTTTTGAGTCTTTTGACTTATCTTATCCATCTGTCACTCTTCTCCTCCTCACGCGGTGTCGCCGCCCTACGCTCTCTCTCCTCCTGATTTCCACCCAACTACTCCACCGCGCTTTCTTTCTCTATATATACATAAACATCAATACACATAATTACTCGGACCATCAAAATTTTTATTTTTCCTCTGCTTCTATTTGAGTTTGACCAAATTGATCGATTATCCCCTGTTCTTACAGTTTCGACAATCATCATGAGTAACTACAACCAAAATCAAGGTATTTACTAATTTTGGAATATGGGTTGTGGTTTGATTTTTGTCCTATGTAGTTATTTTTGAAAAAAGGTGGAGTCTTGATAATTTTTTGTTTTTGATTTGGACCGAGCAGCGTATCCGACGCCAGCTGTCGCATACCCGGCGGAGCCACAGGGCGGTCAGATGGCACCACCGCCGCCGGTTGGGTATCCGGGGACAGAAGGGAAGGTGGACTACGGCCAGGCTCCGGCGGCGGCTGCCACTCAGTCTAGGGGAGATGGCTTCTGGAAAGGATGGTAATTAGCATTTAGCCCTCTGTCTCACCTTATATTTCATTATTTCTTTNTTTTGGGGTAGAATTTAATTGTAAAATTAGTTGTTTTTCCATTTATACCAAATACTTTGCATAATCAGTCAATCGAATTAGCTAAGCCAAACCTGCTAATTTAGCTATTCATTAATTTAATCACCTTTCAGTTATCTGTTTAGCGTTGTCAATCAACAACGACAACAAACAATTTGTTTTGAGATCAACCAAAACATTCATGGAGCCCTTTTAAGTACACATATTTGTATTTTCAGAAAAGTATTTTTCCATTCAGAGGGTTCAAAATAATCATCTTGTGGTTTTTCTATTTCCAGTTTTTGTCTTGGTTAAAATTTTATAAGTTTCAATTTGGATTAGAAAAGTTGGCTTTGTGCTTTCATTTATTGGAATTTTCAATGTATTAGCTTATGATAAGCTGTTTCTATACTGAATTACATCTGTCATAATTATATTTGGTTTATTGCAGTTGTGCTGCCCTTTGTTGCTGCTGTGTATTGGACGCTTGTTTCTAAAGGCTTTTCTTGGAGCAAAAACAGAACACTATTTGGTTGGACTTTTTGGATTTCACGATTCGTAACTTTGATATGTTGTGTATTTTGTGTATGTACCTATTGGGTTAAACTTACATGTATGAAGAATTTTTATGTGTATAGATTGGATTTGGTGTTTATTTGATGCTTGGATTTAATGGGGATTTTGTATGAGTTTGAATGTTTGATCACTTGATGTGTGTGACATTTGATGACATACGAAGTGATTTTTTCTGCTGCTTCATGAACAAATACTTGAATTTCCCCGTTCATACACATAATTACTCCAGCTATAGAGAAAAAGAAGAGAAAAATAATAAATTGTAACCTACAATTATAAATATAGGTTCTTAAGTATTCTTCTACAAAATAAAGTTCAATGTTAGCAAGACTATATGGGGGTTTAATTGTGAACAAAAATACATATTCATATCGTAAAAATGTTATGCATTTATCTATTTCAAATAAATAGGCATATTTATGTACTAAAATTTCATATATGAAGAAGCATATGTCATTGCATAAGTAATGGATGATTGGAATCAATTTTTTGTCACTAAACTTAAATGACATACATCAAGAACACAATTTGCCGCTTTATTAAGCACTTTATGCTAGTCACTGCATTATCAGAATCATTTGATATGAAAGATGTGCTAACAAAACAAAGCAATTGCATAATTTTGTACATATTCCATTTGGAAAAAGCTAATTCTCACTTACACGATAAATGACAAATAAATTAAACAAGAAAATGAAGAATACTCGATAGAAACTTGAATAACAGCCAAAAAAAAAATATATATATTGTCTCCTTTTTTCTGTAATTTCTTTTCAAACTATATAAACAAAGTCGGGTGTCAAACCAAAACACAATTTGGATAAAAACCAAAAAAAAAAAAGGCCCTCAAACTTAAAAAGGCACAAAGTAACCAAACCCGAACACCACATCATCTCAGTACCTTTTCCCAAGAATAACACCAATGATAATGGACACAAGTGCCACAGTCAGTATGAACTTAAAGTTGATAGCTAGAGATTCCTCAGGAGTATGAACCTTTGTGTTTGCCTCTGCCTTTTTCATGCTCTTTTTCTTGAGAGGAGTTGAAGATAAATCGATTTCTCGAGGTTTTAATGTTGCATCCTTTTGTTCTGAGGGACCTCCTCCAATGTCCTGCACAGACATAATGCCGTACTTTTGAGATTTAAGTGTGTGTGTGTGTGTGTGCAAATTTGCGAGATTGGTGTAAAGTTGAATTTGTGAGTAGAAGCTGAAAGATGGGTATTGAGTGTTTTGTCATTGATTAGTTAATTTTTCTGAGTGTCTTTTGTGTAAAAATAATTCAAAAATAGGTTCAGAAATCAAGAACTTCTAACTTGTACAAAGACAAAAGGCAATTCCAGCCTAAATTGATCTGCAATTCTAGATAGCTTCATGTTATTTACTTTTTTCTGCGAGGTTATCTTTGCAAGAGCTCTATCTATCCATGCAACGTCAAACACTTTATATATTTAAAGATGGAACGGTTTTGCTGTTTATGGTGAGCGAAACGCATTTTTCTTTAATAATGAATGTTTTAAATAGTCGATGCTAACCTTTTCTTTGAACTTAGCATCAGCAAGCTGCAACTTCTGTTCAAGATCTTTCACTTGGTTTTCTAAAAGAAGCATCTCTTTTCTCTTAGTTTCAAGCTCTTCAACCGAATGGTTCAAATCCACTTCTCGTTCCAGGTACTTTTCGGAGCCCAGTTCCTTCTGTTCTCAAGCAATAAAACGAAGAAAAAAAAAATCAATGATTCGGTTCAAAATTTGGTTATTAGCAGGCAACTCAACTGACGCATTATATTACCTCTTCTCTAGAACAAGCTTCTGCAGTTGCCAACTGTTCTTTGATCTCCTTCAGATGATTCTCCTCCAATTCGGCTTTCCCGGCGATCTCAGCATTTAAGATTTCTATCTTAGATTTCAGTGCATCTTCATTCAACTTTTGTTCTTTCAACTGCTCTTCAAGATTTACTATCATAGCTTGAAGATCATTCTTGGAACTTTGGAATGTCATGTTGAGCAAATTGTTCTCTTCCATTACAGACAATATCTAAAAATATTTGAATAGGATAAAGTAATTCTCAAACACTAAATTTGCACTTAGTAAGACAAAATGAAAATCTCTTGTTTCTCATAGAATATATTTTCCCTTCTATAATCACGAATAAATTTAAAGGGTAGTACTTTGAATTAACCATTTCAAAAGAAGCACTTACTTGAGACTGTAGCTTTTGGCCTTCAGAAGCAAGCTTATGGGTCAACTCTTCTATTTGTTCTTTTGCAGTATTCAATTCCTCGATCGTATGATCCTTCTCGGACTCGAGTGATTCGTTAGCCAACTTGAATTTTGCAGTCTCTTCGCTCAAAAGCTCTCTAAACTTCTCGGCTTCATTGAGCCTATCCTTAAGTTGATTTTCATTTTGCCTACTGACCTCAAGCTCATTCTCAGTGTTCCCCGACTTGTCCAGTGCAACTTGGTATTCTTTTTGCAAGGCGCTGAGTTGATTTTGCAACTCGGACAGCTTTTCATCCGAGGCTCTCGATAATTCCTTAAGACTATTGTTCTCCTTAGTAGCTGAATCCAAGAATTCTTTATTTTCTTTTTCCTTTTCTGATGATGCTTGCAAAGCACTCTCCAAACCCAATGCTTTTGATCGGGTGGCCTCGAGCTCGGCTTCGAGTTCGAAAGCCTTCTGACTGGCTTTAGTAAATTCCGCCTCCAAATTCTCTCGGTTTTTCTCTAGCAAGCTTATTTGCTCCTCGAGCTCTTTAGTCCTGTTTTTTTCGGTTTCGAGAAGTAATTCCAATTCCCCTACCTTGTTTGTTAAATCGGACATGGCATTTTCCAGTTCCAGTTTTTCTTTAACAACTCTTTCCAAATCTTCCTGTGCTATTTTCATCTTATTTTCCTCGTGTTTCAAAAACTCTTCAGCTCTTTCCTTTGCATCAACTTCTTCCTTCAGCTTGGCCTTTACATCTTCCAACAGATTTTCGAGTGACTCAACGTCGTCATTGGACTTTGACTCGGCAGCTTTCATGACTTCCAATTCTTGGGTCAACTCACTTAAAAGCGCCTCTTTCGAAGCCAGCCTCTGCTCGACTTCCTCTGCATGTGTTTTCGAGCCTTCTAACTCTACACGAGCATTGTTGAGCTCGAGAGAAACGCTTTTCAGCTTCTCCTCGACTCCCTGATTTTCTGCGATTTTGTCGTACAAGCCTTTGACCTCATCTTTTAACAAAGCCATTTGGTCATCCATATCTTTGGCGCTCGATTTTGCCACGTCAAGCAATTGTTTGAGTTCCAATGCCCTTTTCGTCTCGGCCTCGGCATCCAAACCGCTTTGCTTATGCAGCTCCTCATATTTCCGAGCTTCTCCTGAAGAACTTCGCAATTCCAGCTTAAGCGCTTGAATCTTCTCGGCCGAGGACTCGAGCTCAAGGGTCAAACGGTCAAACGACTCTTTCACATCGGCCAACTCTTTGTGTTTCTCTTCTTGAGCTTGCAACGACTCCTGCAGAATCTTGTTGTACCTTTCTTCAGCTTCTGTGAATTTCTCGAGCAGGTTTTTGTGGCTGAGCTCGAGCTCTTCGTGCTTCTTCGCGGATTCTAGAAGCTTCTCTTTCGTCTGCAGGAGTTCATCGTTGAGACAGGTGTTTTTCGATTCGGCCTCCTTTGCTGCGTGAGAAATTCTCTTCAGCTCATTTTCGAGCTCATTGATCTTTTCCTGTGATTCCAGAAGCTCCCTCGTGGGCTCGGGATCGGTTTTCGTGTGCTCGACCGCAGGTGATTTTTCCTCACAGTCGAACGACTCTTTATCGACCTTTGTTTCTTCAGCTTTGCTAGCAATGTCTTCTTCTATTACCTGCTAAAGGAAAANAAAAAAAAAAAAAGATGAAAGAAAAGGATTAGGCTGGGCTTTAAGGGCTCAATCCGGGCTCGGCGTTCTATCAAATTGTGTGATCCTTTTCATAATCATCGTGAAACAGCAGTTTTTACAGTTAGAATTCCAGTTTATGTACCTTGATAGGGACTCCATTGGCTTGAGCTTCTTCAGACAGCTTTGCCACTGGTATTTCATGACTTGTAAGAGTCTCATCTGCCATGGCTAGAAATGGAGATGAATGTACCTTTACTCTTTATATGGTCTTGAGATTATCAGATCTGAATGGTAATAATATATGATGGAAGTTAGATAAAATAATTTGGATAGTTGCCAAATGGAGTTAGAAAACTGAAGGCACGATTCCAGGAAGAAACAAGGCGTCCATTGAAAACTGTAAACAATTGATGAAATATATAAATTCCTGTTCTATGTTTCAATAAATAGAGGTGAATAAGGTAAAAGAAACTACACCAAAATGCAAAAAACTAAAAAATTTAATTATTCTGGGCAGAAGTCCTGAAGTCTACTAATAATGGTACTGTTAGTTAACGACTGGAATCACTGGACAATTATAATCTTTCAACAAATATGCATAATTTTTAAAATCAACTTTAGACAACCATAATTTTTCAACAAATTAATATGCATAATTTTAAACTAAAGTATTATTATTTAAAAAATAACATAAATAAAAATATATCATACAAGTATGTATTTTGGTATAAAAATATCACGGGACTTAAATATATATATATATATATATTTAATTTTTTTTAGTTTTCCTTTGTTTCTCTTCGTTTCTTTATTTGAATTTTAGTTTCCTTTAATTGGACCTCTGAAATAAAAAAGTTTTCAACTGAAGCGTTTCTATTTTATGCATAATTGAGTAATCCAATTTTAAGTACTTTTATTTGCTATTCAAGGAAGAACGGCCCCCTAAAATCAAAATGATTATGGCTCAAGAAAGTAGAAATTTTATAAATCAGCGAATCATGAAAGAGTGCACAAAACTTTAGAAAAGATTCAATTCCTATAAATATATTCATATTTGAATACGCGCACCGCAAAGAGAAAAGGAATTGTGAGAGTGATATATTATTTTTAAATTACTCTTTACCTTTAATAATAATAATAAAAAAAAAAACAACTTTTTTCATTTCACGCTGGCCACACAAATCAAAAGACGAAGAAAAAGAAAAATATAAGAAGAAGACAAAGACAACGAAACTTGACTTGGCATAGACCAAACAATGTGCGCTGATCTCTCCTTGCAAAAGCTATCAAAAGGTAAATAATAATAATAAAAAAAATGATTTATTATTTTTATTAGAATATCATTTATTGTTTATACATGAAAAATAAGTTTAACTTATAAGTTTGGACTGCCTAATTACTAATGGCCCCTTATCATTTTATCAATTGGTTTTGGGATGAAATTCGTCTATCTAAACTCACCCTCTTATAGTGCGTTTCACGTGGGTGAGAATGCATCCGTCACCTCATTTCTTGCAATTTTGAAATTAGTAAAGACTTTAATATTTTAAATTTTTTAATGTATTTAATTTTTATTTTTAAAAAATTTAAAAGTTTGAAGATTTTATTTAAGTTTTTCTTAAAAAGTAAGTTTAGAGCTATTCATTTCATGTTTTAAAAGTTTATGAAGTAATCAATTTATTTATCATTGAAATTTTTTTAGCATAGGTTCAAAACACAAAGCACATATATACGTAACAAAATGTTTCAATAAAATCCAAAAAAACATTACAAACTCTCAAATTCCAAAAAAGAAAAAAAAAAAGACATTTCATTCAAAAATATTCTTAATTTCACTCAAAATTACAAAATCTTGCCCATTGACAGCTTGAAATTGATTTATATCGAACATTTTCCGAAAATAGTTAGATATCGTTGAAAAAACCCAATGACAGCACAATAGAGTCGAATTTGCAGATAACATTTGAGTAGACGGTGAAAGTTTGAGCCATAAGTCTTCACGGTTCGCCGCAAAACGTCACATCTTTGCCGGAAAATTAAAACTCAGCTCGACAAACTTAAAAAAAAAAATCATTATATCTCAAGCAAACAAAAAAGGAGACGCAAATTCGAGCTGCTCGATATAGCATGCAACCAGAACGAATCTCAACAGAAATTGAGATTATTCTCCACAAACAAAAAAAACAGATCAAAATCATCAGCAGCAAAAATGATTCAATAAACACAGCACAAATTCACCAAGACGAAAACGGAGATGCATACACTATACAATTAACAAACAGCCACGCAAACTCAGACCAAAACAAAACAAAACAAATGGAATAAAAATGGAGACCGCAGGCTTACCCAGTAGAAGCTGATTAACTTTTTGGCTGTTGAATTTTGTTTTGAGAGAAAGAGAGAATATTGGTGGAGTTGAGAAATGGTGCGACTGAAATTTGGAAATAACAGTGACAGTGAATGACTTTTTTTTGGGGGGGTGAGAAAGAAGTAAGGATAGGTAAACTAAATTGGTATAGTAATCTCTACCAATTAATTCCCAAATCACCCAAATATAAATTGGGAATTTAATTATGATTTTCAAAATTGTTTCTATTTGGGTTTTCAAAAGTTTCATTTTGAATTCATCCAAAATCTGTTACAGCAGATACAAGAAACAGTCAGTACAACCATAATTCCTCTCTCTAATGGGAGCTAAAATCCTCTCCACGGAGACGCAATCCCCTGCATATCAGGTATAATCCATCCTCCAAGTGAGGAGTTATATCTCAAATTAGTAATCTACGCTGTTCCATTATCTAGGGTTTCTGTGGGATTTTTTCTTTTTGGTTGCTTCTCAGTGATTCCAGGATTAGGGCCTCCCTGTTTTAGCTGCGATTTCTCTGCTCCTTGTGCAATCACATACCAGCATGGAGGATGATATTGCGGCAAAGCTGGACTCTGTTCTGCTATCGGATAGAGAAAACGATGTCGTCCCCATCTTGTCAGCGGACATACAACACAGTGCGGTGGAATGTGGACGAAGCTTGTTTGGTAAAATCATCGGACAAAAAAGAGCGCACCTGGCAGGTATCCGTAGAGCAATCAACCAAATGTGGCAAATCAGATCATCGGTGGCGGTTAGAGAACTCAGCCCAAATTTCTTCCAATTTCTTTTTACGGATAAAGAAAACAAAATTAAAGTTAGTAAAGGCTGCAACTGGGCCTTTGAAAACCAGCTACTATCCCTAAAAGAATGGGTTGCAGGCATCAATGCAACACACCCATGCTTTCAAGAGATTATTTTTTTAAGATAAAAACGTTTCAGTTTTGAAGTAAGCAAGAAATTAATTATTGTCTAACCATAGCCTTAATGATTCAATGTTTAACAAAACGGACTGCTTATACTATCAAATATACATTAATTTATATTATTCATAAAACATAACATTTCAATTTGAAAATACACATACATGTTGAAAAATGTACAACGATTGTGAATAATAAAATTGAAAAATGTCTCAAAATGCATAATTTGTACAATCAACTGGAATCCTAAAGAAATGGAGACTAATACACATCTCCATTTCTAGCAAGAACAGCTTGCATGGAGACTAAAACCCTTCCTGCCATTTTCATCCTCAATCGAATATTTTGTTCGACCATCTATTTTCACTTCTTCTGAGACTTGAACTCGAGCACCCGATCTTCTGTATCCTTCAAAGCTTTTCCATATTTTTCGATTAGCTGATCAAGCAAGAAACATAAGTTCAAGTCAGAACATAAATGAACAATTCTTGAATTTTAAGCTCATCAACTTGGCCAAACGAAAACTAGTTCTTCACGATCCAACCGGAATCTCTAAAACCGAGTGGATAGGATAGATTTCATATTTTCTTGTTTTAGTCAAAACTCACCTCATCAACTTCTTCAAGAGTCATAATGTAAGGAGGTGACATCATTATGTTATCACCCGCAACACGTACTAACATGCCGTGCTTTTCACATTGCGCTCCGAAATAAGCTCCAACACCTTATAAAGATTTTGTTATTATTACTAAAAAAAAAACTTACATATAAGTTTTTGANAAAAAAAAAAAAAAACTCTAGCGTACCCCATTCGGAAGGGAAAGTGTTGGTTGGTGACTTGTTATCGGTAAATTCTGTCCCGTGAATCAAACCTGTTCCACGAATCTTCAGCACAAAAACCGCAACTCAAATGACAGAACCGAAAAAATACAACAATTTGCATGTGTTTTTATATTAAGACAAAAGAGCATCTAATTGTACCTCTCCTATAATGGGACTGTTTGCAAATGCCTTAAGACCCTCTTGGAACTTAGGGGCTATTTTATTTACTTGATCAAGAATATTTCTCTCCCTGCAGATTGTAAAATTTCGTGATTTTTGACATTATATAACAAAATCAATCTAAAAATTGGAAATAAAATAAAATAAAATAAAACAAAACAAAACAAAATACTTGTAGATCCTAAGTGTCTCCAATGCAACAGCGCACGAGACGGGATGTCCGGAATAAGTAAACCCGTGGGAGAATACACCTTTTAAGGACAAAAATACGAGCAGAAAATCAATCAATCATAAACCGAGCTTTTCCAAAAGAACTTTATGATTTGACAAAAGGGAAAAAAAAAACAAAAAATAAAAAAAATCTCTACCGACCGAGCTTGTTGCTCTGATCATGTACGGCATCATAGACTTCATGGCTGACGAGAACAGCTCCAATAGGAAGGTATCCAGAAGATAGCGCCTTGTGCATTGTTATTTGTACCAAGGAAAAATTTAGTCGGTACTTTATAGAATAGAACTATAGTTTTTGTGAACAAATTTTTACCTTAGCTATGGTCACTAGATCAGGTTTGATACCATATTTGTCACAGCCAAACATTGTCCCCAGCCTTCCGAACGCACATATTACCTCATCAGCAATGAAGAGGATATCGTACTTTTTAACAATGGCTTGAATCTGAACATATGTTAAAAAAAGAATCAGATAGATTGGTAATATTTTGAAGAAAACAAGGTTACGAGTTAACTAACTTTTCCAAAATAAGTTGATGGTGGAGGAATTACGCCGCCTGCCCCCATAACTGGTTCGGCAATAAATGCAGCAATCTGAAAATGGAAACATTTTCTGAAAATGAATACAGAAAATCGAACGATATGAATATATATCTATTTCCAATTATACCGTCTCGGGGCCCTCTTTAAGGATGAGATTTTCCAAGTTATTGGCTAACCTTGTAGAGAACTCTTCCTCTGTTTCACCTGGAAAGTTATATAAAAAAAATATACAAATAAAATTAATTGATATCGTCATTGCGAAACGAATTACGAATACTAGACTAAGTAGAATTAAACAGTATATAAACCCGGGAGATGAAAACGCCAATAATGAGGACAATCAGTGTGCAGTACAAATGGAGCAGGCAGATCGAATTTCTGGTGCAGAGCAGGCAGACTGTTTAAAG